TCTTTTCACACAATCGTTGAATGTCGCCCTTCCAGCGATTTATCACGCAACACCTTCTCCAAGGGCATTGGTAGCCATATACCGAAGGTTCGAACTTCGAAAGCCAGCTCTGGAAAAGAGCAGGCATTGATATAAGATAAACCAATGGAAAGATTGATTGTGTGTGCTGCAGTGACACTCTATCTCCTACCCCTCCCACCTTGACTCGCAGTGTCCCGTGACCTAGCTCCCAGTTTGATGAAACAAGGATTTAAGATAAGTTGTTTTAAAAAAATGGCAGCATCTAATAGAACAGGGGATTTGTAGGGTGAGGAATTTAGCAAATTTGGGACATTAGGCCAGAGGCTGGTTCAGGTAAAATGCCCTATAATGAATTAATTGCCATGAGGTGCAGTGTTGAGTGTTGGCAATAATTCAAAAATTCTACTCTTAACCAGCGCCCCACTGGGGTATGTTCTGTAACGCACTCCACTGGGGGAGGCGGGGGCTATTTATAGAACCCCCCCCCCCCCCCGCTCCAACTCCGAAACTACTGGGCCGATTGTCAAAACTGAAACGGCGTCTGATAGCCCTGGAAAAACTGTCGAGCAAAACCTAATTTTATTGACCTCGAGATCACCGTTGACGTCACAGGTCAGATCAAAATAAAAATTAGCAACGTTTTGGCTTGTTAACCCTCCCCCGTATAGGGGGGGGGGGTCGAACGGACTCCCCCTCGGTTTTTCGCGAATACCTCGCGTAAAAAGCGGCCGACCGCAACGAAGCTTTCAGTACCCTCGAGTTATAATCAATTTTACACCTACCCTAAAAAATGTAATGGCCCTGACTAATGACCTTTGACCTGTGACCTACTTTTCGAGACCATGTTTGGCCGGAATCGCGATTCGGCGTATGTCGGCTCGCATTTGCCGCGCGTTTGCAGTCCTTTCGTGGTTTCAAGCGTTCAAACATGGGATATGATGCTGCTCCCATGCATTAGGGTGGATGTCAAGGTCACCAGAAGGTCAGGTCAGTTCATTGACCTTTGATGACCTCGGTTTACTTTTTCGAGTTTTATCAGCATCTTTCTAGGCTAGTTTTTTTAGCTGATTTCGAATTTAACAACCATATATGAACATTTACGAAGTAGTTTTGGTGCCTTCGTAACATGTTACGAAGCTGTCAGAGGCGGTTGCCACCTAGTGCACCTACTACGAATACCCGGCAAAACCCTTACTGGTTGACCTGACCTGACCTGACCCGACCTGGCCTAAATGCATGAAGACATCATCTATGATCATAGCTAACATGATATTCGTGATCAGTTCCCTAAAAAACCCAATAGCAGCCACGTTTTACGACGTTCTAACAGGTCCCAGTTTTCCCCACTTTTGGGTCATTGACCTGACCTGGAAGGTCAACCGATGACCTAGGACCGACGACCTAGGATAAAATTGGGTACCATCGGCTTTCTCTCGTCACGGGCAGCACGCTCGTTTTTTCCGCGAAGCTCTAGCTCAATCAGGGGCGAAACGGCAAGGAGGGGGTTCAACGGACCCCCCCTTAAACGTTCGTGGCTGAAAAACACCAATACGGGCGAGGGTTAACCCCCACCCTACTGTGGGGAGGGCTATTCATAGCCCCTCTCGTGTTTACGCAATATCTTTAAAACCGCTGGACGTATCAAAACAAAGCTTTTAGGACCTTCGGCTGCATCAATTTATTTGACACCTTGTGCACTAATAAAATTTTCGTAGCTACTATAGATCGGCCGGAAATGACGCCAGAGTGACATCATGTTCGGCCGATTTTGATGCAAAGCATTGAACAACGGTAATCGCTCTCAAGATCTGAGTTTTAACCCGGCAAGCGGTGGGCCTCCCGGCTACCTTCCGCGCGGTGGGAGGGGGGGGATTTTTGACCCCCCCCCCCGAATCTCCGAAGCTACTATGACGGATCGGTAAAATTTAAATGGCGTTCGATAGCCTTGTTAAATTTGTCGAGGGAACTTCAATTTCATTGACCTCGGGGTCACCGATGACATCACAGGCCAAGTCAAAGATAAAATGTTTCACCGTTCACGGGTCTTTTAAGGAATGCGCTGCAACATCGAGTAAAGGGCATTTTGTCAAAAATCAGCGATAGGGCGTGAGTTGCCTATTATACGAGCATATGTTGCTATTGGAGGTCACTGATAATACCAGGTCCGATCACCAAGGGTCAGCACATGAACCTATCTTTACTAAGTAGGGTTGTGCGATGCATGTTTTATGGCCAATTTTTCATATTCGCCTCAATGGTGTTGGTTATAAGACCATCAGGGACGGTTTTTTGGTCACTTTCTGGTGGAGGTCAGGTCAATGTCAGGTCAAAAAGGTCAAATTTCAGGTCAAAGTTGATAGTTTCGCATAAAATTGGTATTGATTCGATGCCACTCGTCACGGCGAGTCTAATGGTGGTCTTTGTTTTGCGCTTTGTGGTCTAGAATTGCCAAAATCGAGTTTGAAAATTTGACGTCATTAATTTTGAACAGTTTTTTTTGTTATAACTTGGCAAAAAGGAGTTATCGATCTAATACTTGGAATGTGAATAGAAGTCCATAGTGGCTATTACATATATTCCGTTTGTTTCGAAAATCGAAAAACTTTTGGGATTTTTTGGCTATTATATCTATTTCTTTTTATTTTTGGGGTCAACTTCAAAAACAAAATCGAGAGAACAGTATAGTAGCCCTGGTAATTCTACACATTTCATGTCTTGAACATTTTTATGCATAATCAAATTTATAGACCTGACAGCTCTTCCCGCGAAGCTTTTTTTTTTGGTCGACAATGGCAGAAATGACGTCACTCCGACGTAGCGGCCAACTTATCATAGCCTTTGGAAAAAAAATTTGGTCACAATGTGCAAAAGGGTACTGAAAGTTTGGTGAAGATCGGCGCAGCGGTTCTGGAGATATATCGAAAAAAAACTAAAGATGGATGCAAAAAATGCCCCCCCCCCCCCACCGCCTTGAGGGTTAAGCTAGATCCTTTTTTTTGCATGGGTGGACTCTACAGGGCTACCAAACTGATTTCGGACTTTCGAAATGTTGAATATTTTGAAAATTATAAATATAAAAACTCAGAAATTGTATTTTTTATTTTTTTACATATACGTTTCTGAATGAAAAAAAGCAGAATATGACCACGTTTCCATGGGCATCACTGATCCGGATCAGTAAAAATGGATTAGCTAATCCAGTATAGTTAGACAATATATGAAAATGAAAATAAGGGATTAACTGATTATATAAGCCTAATCCACTTGGAATTATATCATGTAACGAAGAGTTCGAGAAATATAATACGATTTAAGTTTGCTGATCCGGATCAGTGATGCCCATGGAAACGGGGTCTATATGTGTTTGAACACATATGCGTTGAATATATGTGAACTTCATCTGACAAACACCTTTTTTGTTGAAAAATGTCAACTTCAAAATTTGACCATTTTTGACCTAAAGTGACCTGACCTGACCTCAGCTATATTCAGCTAAAATGGCCTAAACTGACACATACAACACTGATTTCGATATATATGGCCTACATGAACCATAAAACATGTCTCACGTCACCGATGCACGATATAAAGCTTTCGTGACCTGGGATGAGATGGCCTTGACCTGAAAAATTCGAAGTACAAGTTCGGTACCCTCAGGTTATGTTACGCATATATTCACGAGTGTGCAAACAAAAAATGAGCCTGATCTGATTTGTTGGCCGGCGCCCAGAGTGCCAAGACGCTGATATTTTTACTTTGACCTGACCTGTGAAGTCATCGATGACCTCGAGGTCAATGACATTAGGCTTCGCTCAACAATATTTCCAGGGCTACCAGGGGCCGTTTGAATTTTGACAATCGGCCCAGTAGTTTCGGAGTTAGGAGCCCCCCCCCCCCCCCACTGTAACGTGCTGTAACGTGCTGTGGGGCGCGTTAGAGCACATACCCCAGTGAGGCGTGGGTTAACAAATAAAAAAACACGTTGATTTCCGACGCTGGGAAATGCCCGCAATGATACCCACCCCACCACCCTCCCCCTACCCGGTCCAACAGGGTCTCAAGGAAATTCAACAACATGAACCGAAACAAAGGCTGCGATCTTTGCTGGAAATGGCACTCGTGAGATAAGTATTATTATGCTGAAGATACAACGACTTACTTGTTATTTCCGAGTATCCTCCACCGTCAGCTACGCTAACCACCCACACAATCACCGTTCAAATATTTAAAACCACGGAGCACCTTCACAACGCCGGCGCGCGGCCGGAACTGACATGGCGGCGCCGCTGCAGCAGAGTCAGACGCACGTGGATTGTTAGTAAGGGTGTAGTGTTGTCATGGTGTTGCCATGGTATACCTTACCATAGCAGCAGAAGCACACCCAGGGAACTGTTGCAAGAAATTTCTGGCCTTTCGTCCATAAAACTATTAATTGCTCAGGGTCTCAGCTAGTCCTTGGATGACGCTCCTTCCAACATATCAAAAATTGGCAAACACCTCTATGGAAAGGAGGAGACTTGATCGCCGAATTCACCTGCTGGATCCGCCCGTGGAAAGGTTGATTTTACTATGGTAGGGAATATTAGCTTACGAGGGTATCTACTAGCCTCAGGTGGTTACCACCTTGTAAACTGGGGTACAAAACCACCCCTGATAAACGTAACCATGGTAATATCAACATGTCAAGGCAGGATAGTATTCAGCACCATAGTAGGCTGGTAGTAATATGATGGTAGGCTGATGGTAAAATTTACCAAAGCTAGTAACTTAGTAAATTGATGGTAAAAACTTTTTTCAGTGCCATCCTGCCTGCGGCTAGGGTAGACGGCGGTGCCAGGCGGTGCCAGCCCGCCTATCTGACGGCCTTCCTGGCCAGTCGGCCGCAGTCGCCGTCACCCTTCCTGTGGTTGACGTGGCGGTGCAGACCAGCGCTATCAGTGGAGCCCGGCCGGGCCGGTCTTCCTTCGCAGTTAGCTGGGTCGTGCCTGGCTAATATTATATTTACACCACATCCAGTGGCCACCACACGCCATGGTTACCAGGTAATGGTTCGGTACAGATGTGTATGTATGTACCGTTCCGTACATTCCTCCTAATGCATAATAGCTTATACGAGGAAACACATTACACAAGACATGTATCATAAAAACATAAAGCCTATTAACAACAGTAATTGCTCACTTAGCCCATTTCAATAAAAATCATCGAACAACAGTTTGTACTTGTATAACAACAAAGGCCACCCTGTAACACATCGAATAGGTATACAACTATTTACACATGATGAACATCAAACATGCCCATTTTGTACATAATGATGCCAAAACTCATCTAAAACCTACCTATTTGTATAAAACCTATTAATTTGTAACTTCCCGGCCTCAATGAAACGGCAATGATATACCATATTATTTGTGAATGTTTTCATTTTCTTTTTTCAAATATCTGCACAGTCGACACATTCTGAACTTGTCTGACACTGTAAGCATATATCTGTTCCTCGACATGTTCTTCGTAGTGGCGCCTCCTCGGAATGGTCCGCGACTCCGCTGATATCCTGAAACACAAACAGAACAGGTGACCTCACCATTATAAATAATTGTATGAAAATAAAATAAAAGGTTTCATGCTTCAATTCTGCATTGTTGACCTTGCGTGACGTCATTTATGAAGTCACTAGGGCCATAAGAGTATTTCGGTCAATACATCCCGATGAAATTGAGCTAGCGAGTCGTGAAGGTCACCAATCGACTCGGGAAGGCCATCGGAGTCGAATGATATGCGATATGACCATTGACTTCCTTCGACCAACTTCGTGAACGAGGAGCTCTGACCTGACGTTGACCCGAGGTCAACATCTGAAGCTGACCTAACCCGAACAAAAGCATATCATTCGACGCGCCTGAGGGAGGCGAGCACGATGGTGCCACAATGGCGGATCTGCGGCCATTTTTTGCAAAGTTTTTGAGCCCGTGCCTTGGGCCACTTGACCTGACCTTAGAGGTCACCGGTTGACCTGAGACCTTAAAATTTGGTACCAGTCGATGCGTCTCGTATCGGCGCACACGCTCGCTTTTTTCTGCGAGGCTCTAGCTCCATCAGGGGCGAAACGGCAAGGGTCGTACCCCCCCCCTCCCCCACCCCTCGGCCGGCGCGTTTGTAGAAAGTCGGCGGGTCCGTCGAAGGCTAATGAACATGAAAAAGCTATGGTGTGTTTTATTTCTTCCATTGGGTTTGTCGCTCAATTATTTCATTCTGATTGAATACAGAAAACGTTGAATAATTTTCAACAAAACTAACTCACGTCGGTCACTTTCCGTGGCGCCGCTCCTGCTTGTTCCACCGACAGCCGAGGCGCCGCTCCAGACCCTTCCTCTCCTGCCGGTGACGTCTCCTCTGCTCCTCCAGCTCCTGGTTGTGCCACTCCTGGAGCTGGATTAGCTGCTGGCGGTGTCTTCGTGTCGCCTCTATGAGATTCCGAAGGTGCTCAAGGTGCCGGCCTGGCTGCCGTCCCCGTTCTTGTTGTTGCTGTTGCTGCTGCTGGTGCTGTTGCTGCTGCTGTTGCTGCTGTTGTTGTTTCTGCCGCTGCTGCTGTTGTTGCTGCTGCTGTTGTTGCTGATGCTGCTGCTGCTGCTGGTGCTGTTCCTGCTGCTGGTGCTGCTGTTGTTGCGTCTTCTTCTGCCGCTGTTGTTTTTGATGCTGATGCTTTTGCTGCTGTTCCTCCTGCTGTTGATGCTGTTCGGGCTGCTGCTGCTGCTTCTCCTGCTTCTTCAAGTCTGGAATAAGAATATCCGAGATTGGTAGAAGACAGTTATGAGGGTGGACACAAGTTAAGCCTGGAATCAGGGCCGAGATGTTGAACCCAGCTTTTTTGAAGTGACTGACACGACTTATTTGGTAGTATATATATGCTGTTAATCAGACATGTGCATGGATCCGAGTGATGGATCTATGATCTCAGTGGATCTTAAAGCAAAGTACAGGTTGGGATCTATGATCCCACCGGATCCGGCGTGAAAAATACATACATCTTGGATCTATGATCTCACATGATCTGACGATAAATTAAAAACATGGATCTATGATCTGAGTGGATCCCACCATGCACCACATTTGAAACCATGTTTTGAAGGGTTTCTATGCCAATGAGTGACACAAAACTATGGATTATGGCGTGCGATCACATAAAATCACTAAAACAGAACGTTTGTGAGTTGAAACAAGTGCTTTTTTGGGATATTTGTGTTGACAAAAAATAATTGAGGATCTGTGATCTCACTGGATCTCAAGCAGAAAATGAAACTCGGATCTGTGATTCCTACGGATCTCTCGACAAATTACAGAGCTGGATCTATGATCCCGTCGGATCCGAGATCAGGATCCGTGGGATCAGATCCCAGATCCATTTTCTCGGATACATGCACATGTCTGCTGTTAATCACAACAAGAGCATGTAGCTATAGCATCTTTGAGCTCGGTCGTATTCATCACGAATGCTAATACGACACGGGATATGTTCACTCATCGTTAAATCTGATATCTTACCTTGTGCAAGTGTCTCTTCATTCTCTAGCTCCTTCTCCAGCTCCTTTCCCAGCCGCTGACGCCTCCTGCTGCACTCCTCCATCAGCCGATCCAACTCCTCCCCTGTCCGGATGTTCGGGAATCTCTCCTCCAACTCTTGTGTTTCTCGTCGGTGCCTCTGCTTCATTTTGTTCCACTGCTTCTGGAACTCCTGCTGCTGGTCGTCCCACTCGCTTTGGTGCTTTCGCTCCAGCACTGCACATTGCCTACGTTTCCTCCGATTCAGCAACTCAGTCTGCCTTTGACGTTTCTCTACAAGGAGCTGCAACTGTCCCTCAGTCTGAAGTTCCACGCATCTGACAGCACTGTCGTGTAGCTTATGAAGCCTTTTTCGCTCCTCATGGTGCCGCGTTTTCATTTGCCACCACATCTCATCATGATGCTGCTCCAGACGCTGGCACTCTTTATCATGCTGCTCGTTCAGACTCCTCTTCTCCCCGTAGCCCCGCGGCTCGAGCTCCTGCCACAGCTGCTGGTGCTGTCGCTCCAGCTGCTGCCATTTCTCTCGCTGAGTTCGAGGCAGACCTTCCGATGTCTGCTCCTCGTCTCCGTCACGCCGCTGCTGGCCACCGGCCTCTCCGCCGTCGTCATCCCGCTCCGAGTCTGAAACGCAGTAGGTCAGGTGGGCGTTAATAGGTCCATTGGTAGTCGAGAGACTAAGTAGCAAGACAGACACAACTTAGCGTCAGTAGAGGTGAGACAGGAACTGGTCAGAGGAACTGGTCAGACGGCTGGGTCGGTGTGAGTTTGGTCAGTGGGGGCGGACGGGATGAGAAGGTATGTCAATAGGGTCAGTTGAAAAGGATTATGATGAGTTAGATGGAAGGCCATTCGGTGGAGTCAGATGGGAGGAACATTGTAGGGGTCAGGTGAGAGGTCATCTGGTGGTTTCAGGTGGAAGGTCACTCGGTGAGGCTAAGGTGGGAGGTCAGTCAGTGGGGTCAGGTGGGAAGTCAGTAGGGGCGGGGGAGGGGGGGGGGGGTCATGTGGGAGGTCAGCTGGTGCTTTGCGAGATCAGGTGAGAGGAAAATCAGGGTTAGGTGGAATGTCAGCTCATGGGGTCAGCTGGGATGTCAGTCAGTGACTTTATGAATTTATAAATACCAGAAACGCTTAAATATCACAGAAGTTTATAAAAGTAGATAAATTAAAATGCAACAGCCTCAACCTGAACGTGTAATTTTTTATTACCATGCAACATTTGAGCCCTTTCTTTGTGAGAACTGAGATCCATAAGTATCTTGTCAATTAATGACGGCGTGTTTACTGATATATTAACACAAGCAGAACCGAATACGATATTTAGTAGCATACGTTTTGTCTTTTTGCAACTGGGTATTTAAACAACCCGAAAAGGCATATTTTCATGCATTCTACAATGTCCGAGGATCACAAAATTCTCACTATATCAAATACCTACTTTGGAGCATATCTTTTTTTTGAAGTCACCACCGAATTAATAGTATAATTATAATAATGGTAATTAACAGTATTAATAAAAATAATAAACTAAAGAATCAAATTATAAATTATAAAGAGAGCTCTGTATATTCTTATGAGACCACTCGAACTGCTCTCGTATGATGTAGCCACGTCAGCAATGACACTGGGAGCTATTGAACCCACCGTCTTTCAGTAAAAGCGGTCTGCACCACTGGTGTCTTACCTTCTGAGTCGGTCTCTTCCACCGCCACATAGTACGGCATCATCTCCCATCGGTCCGGCCACCAGCCGGTGACGGCGTCATAAGCCGTACGCAGCCGGTCACCGGACAGCAGCTGCTGCAGCCGGCGGCGCCAGAGGCCGGCCGTGGCGTCCACAGACGCGGCGTCCATCTCTGGCAGTCGGTACTGGATCTGCTTGTGAAGGTTGTGGTTGAAGAACAGCTCCAGCTTCTCTCGGGTCTCCTGGTAGGTAGCCATTGGTCGGTAGTTACTCATCCATCTGTTCTTCACTGCCTGGTCTATATTCCGCCACCAGCTCATCTTACCCGGTGCGTTCACTCGCACAGCCTGCAGCAGCAGCTCGGGACGCAGCAGCAGCTCGGCACGGCCCCGCGGCGTGTCCAGCTCGGCGGTCAGTCCGGCCGGCCGCTCCTCCAGTGGCCGCCGCAGCTGTTGACTACACCAAGTGGCCACCCTGTCCGGGTCACCCAGCAGGAACTCCAGGTTAGACCTGGTGAGGAGCTGTATCAGGGGCGTTACGTCCTGCGTGACGATGTCGCTGGCCGGTGACGTCATCGGCTCTCCTGGCACCAGGTCTGCCGGGTCGACTACGGTCCATGCCATGAATAGGCAGCACTGCTGCCGATATTTTCCTGAGGTGCTGTAGTGCCACCACTGTAGTAGAAGTGGTGCTGTGCGAACCAGCGGAGGGATGTTCTCCTTCCACCAGCTCTCCCAGCACGGTGCTCCAGGACGGTAACCGACACCGTCAAGTATAGCATGCAGTACCAGCGTCCGTCCGAGACGGAGCCGCAGCTCCCGCTCTGAGGGCGGCCCCGTACCGCCCTCCAGCAGCGGATCCACGTTCCGCTGACCCACACAGCTTGCCATCAGAAGGACCGTAGCATGCTCCCTCATCAGCCTTAGTGTTTCGATGATAGCCAGTCGCTGGTCTGTGCTGAGTGTAGCGGCCACATCGATAGTGTGATCGAAAAAGCAAGGCAATCTTCCAGCGGCGAGGTTTGCCTCCAGCCAGTCCAGTATTTTGTGAACACCGTCAGTTACGCCCGTCCACATATCAACGGGCGTGATTTGGGCTAGCCAAAGTCCGGCCGACTTTATATAGTATGACTTCAATGGTACATCCTCATCCACCACCTCCTTCTTTTTCAGTAAACTTTTCATGGCTTTTACAGCCACGATAGCCGCTCGTATCACTGGAGCGAGGTGGCGAACGGCGACTATCTCCGCCCGTGAGTAGGAAATCCGAAACTCGATAAGCTCGGTGTCACTGCCGGGCCGGCCGGTCGGCACAAGGTGTACCCCGTATCGATGGATGTCATCCCTCGCCGCCGCTGGTGGAAAGTCGGCCTCCAGGTGACATCCGTCGAGCTGTCCTTCTGCCGGCCACCACCCGCGCACGAGGATACAGGGCACGTAGTCAGTGCCGCCGTCTGTAACATCGGTTGTACTTTTGACGTTGACGGCCGGGCCGGCAGTGTCGATCTTGCCTCCCATTACTTTACACATGTCCCGCATGAGCCGACGAATAGAATCAGCCGGCATGGCCTCCAGCGGCTGATCATGACAGCACGCTTTCGTTCTGACCCAGTGCAGAGTCACAAAGCCAGGGTTTTTGGTCGGCCGGGCCCACAGCTGTGGTGCACACTTTGGGCTAATAACGGCCGGCTCCTCTCTCTTCCCCACCGCCGCCCAGCGGAAGGGACCGTCAAACTCGAACATATGATCGAAGTCTGACGTCCCTCCCCGGCCGACGACGCCGTCATCCAGGCCCTCGGCACTGCTGCCCGATCCATTGATGGAGGCTATCCCGAGGGGCTGGTTGGGCTGGCAGTGCCGACACCGGGCGGCGGCGGCGTCATTAACATCCTGCAGGGCCGCCGCGAGTGGTTCAGTCACCAGCCAGCGGACAACGTTTCTCACCTCACTCGCAGTACAATACCCTTGCTGCCCTGCAGACTGGTTGTTCATAATGTCGGTTGCCAATAGCAGCGTGTCTGGGATCAGGTGTGCACACGATCCATACTTGTGTACTAACCTTATCACGCTCCAGTCCATTCCCCTGGTTAACCTGTTTATCCTCTCCGCTCTCCGCGCACCAAACACACCGGGTCGGGACATGGCTGCTGGCTGCTCTGACACTCATGAACTGACTGAGGTCGTCCGACGCCGCTGCACATATACTTATCGAGCCCCGGCGGAAGCCGAGATAAGAGTGAACGCTCCGTGGCTCTCAATGTCCACCGGCAGAGACTGACACGCTCTGTCAATATTATGTAGACAGTGGCGTACACAGGGGGTCATGGGGGCCATCGCCCCCCTTTTCGCCCAGCCGCCCAGATGGCGCCCCAAGTAGCGCCAACTAGGCTGATGCCGCTTCACAGAGGGAACATAAAATAAAAAAGTGAAGCGCAATCAGGATCGACCTTAATAATAATATCTCTTTGAGGGGTGCGTGGACACTCACAACCTTAAAAGTTAAACTCCTCCAAGATTGCTTCCCTGTTCCAGTGGCAGCTCTAGCCCCTACAAAGCCAAGGAGGGCCCTGCTCCAACCTCCTCTATCTTGCTCTAGGAGGAGTTTAGAGGTGTTTGGAAGTGCGACTGGAACAGACCCAATGTTCTCCAGGGCACCCCCAACGAGGACATGAACCCCAATGTTAAAGGGCGCCCCTCCAGAAACTAGAATATTCCGAACGCCAGGGTCATGGTGCCCCTCAAAAGCCACTGGCGCCTACCTGAACGGAGACTACAGCTGCCCCATCTAAGATCGCTGGCGCCACTATGAAACCAATGGCGCCCCTCTATAGCACCCGGCATCCCATCCGAGGCGCCCCTTGAGACTACAGTCCAAGCTGAACGGCGCCCCTCCGGAGCGTCCGGCGCACTGCTGAAGGCAACTGTGGCTCCATCCAAGCCCAATGGCGCCCCTCAGCGCCCTACTGAAGATCACAGTCGCCCCATCCAAGGTCGCTGGCGCCCCTAAAGAGCCACTGACGCCCACCTGAACGGGGGCTTCAGTCGCCCCATCCAAGATCGATGGCGCCCCTCTGAAATCACTGGTGCCACTCTGAACATCACAGTCGGACCACCCGAGATCGTTGGCGCCCACTTGATATTAAAGTCTCCCCATCCAAGCTCAATGACGCTCCTCCAGAGCGTTCGGCGCCTTGCCGAAGGCAACAGTAACCCCATCCAAGGTCAATGGCACCCCTCTAGATCTTCCGGCGCCCCTCTGCAGATCACAGTCGCCCCATCTGAGATCGCTAGCGCCCCTCAATAGCCACTGACGCCCACCTGAACGGGGACTACAGTCGCCCCGCCCTCATCTAAGATCGATGGCGCCCCTCTGAACCCACTGACAATGGCATTCAGCTTTCGCTGCAAAACGAAAAAAACATGCCTATGATTTCAAGAATGCCCTTGACGTCCCGTTGATTAAGAAATTATGAAGTTGTTACGTTTTTATTAAAACAAAATTTTTGAAAAAGGCCATCTTACGATTTTGATAAAAATTACATTTTTGAATCAGCTCACCGTCAGTTTTCGAATGATACATTTCGTTTCTTATATGGATGAAATGACTTTTAGACGAACCGTGAACTATATGCCTCCCCCCCCCCCAACGGCTAGCGGGTGACGCGGAGGCCCAGCGGTCGCCGGGTTAACCAGCAGGAAAAATGTTACAGTTGCCTGAACCGGACCTGTTGCAACTTGCCAAAGTCATATGACCTGGCCCGGAGTCAGGACCCATAGTTCACAATTCCCTTTTGACCTTACCCGTCTAGATCACGATTCACGCCAGCTCCATTTTCTGCTGTCTTTCAGATTGCAGCCCCTTCCCTAGACCCCCGTCCGTTCCCTTCCCTAGACTTCCCTAGACCCCCGGCACCACGCCAACCGCATCATCCTGCCTGCGGCTGGGGTAGACGGCGGTACTTACCACCAGCCCGCCTATCTGACGGCCTTCCTGGCCAGTCGGCCGCAGTTGTCGTCACCCTTCCTGTGGTTGACGTGGCGGTGCAGACCAGCGCTATCAGTGGAGCCCGGCCGGTATCCCGTCGATGTCTCATGTTTTCTCCATATGAGGCGTCTTTAGCTCTTCGCTCTTTTTTTTCACAGCTAGCTACTGTAATATTTCGTTAGACAGACAGACAGACTGACAGACAGAAATAAAGAAAGCCGGAGGGAGGGAGGTCAGACGGACAGATGGAAGGACGGATGGACGGGCAGGCAGGCGGGCAGGCAGACAGACAGACAGACAGACAGACAGACAGACAGACAAAAAACAGACAGTAGATCCAACCCCTCTATTTTGTCGAGAGATCCACTGAGATCATAGATCCAGCTCTCGGATCCATGCACATGTCTGATCCCGAGCAGCCCTTCCGAGGCAAAGAGCAGTCGATACTAAGATCTCGGCAACACCACATCAAGCGTGAATTCAGAGCTACTGTTATTGTGCTTCCACCGCTGCTTTCCTTCTGCGTCAGGCTCTGCATCAGTGTCTACTTCGGCCTCCGCTTGAACTGTTACTTCAGCTCCTGGATCAGCTTTTACCATTAAATGAGCTACTGATTCTGCTTCGACACCTCCTCCCACTTCTTCTCCAGCGTCTACATCAGCCCCTGCGTGGGTCTCCTTTTAGCTGTAGTGCTGCTGCTGAGGCTTCCAAGACTGCTGCTTTGCCGTGTCTCTGACTGAACTCGTTGTGTCGTGGCAATCACAATGATGAATGACAGAATCACAGACAAGCGTTCGGCGTGCCACTACGTCGAGAAATCGCCACTTCTCTCAGACCAGTCTTCAGTAAAATATTCAGCGGGCAGTGTGACCATGTCGTCTTCGGTCTCCCACTCTTCTTGCTCGAGTGCGCCATTCGACCACTGTGATATCTCGCGGGAGTTTGAAGAGTCCAAATCCCTTTCCGCTACAGGCAAGCCCTCGATGGCTGCACTGTCGTCACTCGCACTGTGGTCCCTTGGGAGGTGGGCTGGTGATTGACGTGTGGGGTTACCCGTTTCTGGCCACTTGTCTCGGAGGCATCACCATTCACCATAGTTCTTTGCGTGGCAATGACAGCGAGAGGGATAGTCTATCATGTAACCCGGCAAACAACGACGTCTGTGTAACAGACACTTGGATGATTGTAATATCTGTTTCTCATACCTGGGTGGGTCTGTTTGATATTGTATGTACCTTACAATAGGTTTTTTTAAGAGGTTTTATTATTTGACGTTTGTTGTGAAGCGTGTGGACGCCATATAGTAGGCTGCAGAATCCGTGCATCGATTGTTATCAGGGTGTAAGTTATCATTGGTATCATATCATATGCATCACACCATAATTTGACCGAATTTTCCCTTGCTTGTAGAGAGAGATTCTCTCTCTTCCTCCCTCTCTTTTTCTCTCTTTCCTCCTCTCCTCTCCCCCTTCCTCTCTGTATTTCTCTCTCTCATTCTCTCTCTGTCCTCTCTCTCTCTCTCTCTCTCTCTCTCTCTCTCTCTCTCTCTCTCTCTCTCTCTCTCTCTCTCTCTCTCTCTCTCTCTCTCTCTCTCTCTCTCTCTCTCTCCATCCCCTCCCCTGTCTCCCAGAGCCTGAGCTTACCGTAGATTTTCCCGTTGAGCTGAGAGTTGATGCTGAGCAAACGGTGCGCCTTGTGACGCTCGATGCCGCTCGAAGGATCGTAATGCTGGAGCGAGCCCTTTGTGATGCACGAAAATATCTGAAATGGCACAATAAGTGACTCCCTTGCATTAGCGACCGGGAGCCAATATTTAAAGTCGCTTGATGGCGACAGTGGTAAATAATGCAAGTGAAAGCAACCGATTCATATGCATTTTACTGGTGTCGAATATTTTTCCCGAAAATTTATAATGTGCCAGTACAATTCCATATCTAAAAACAAAAAATTGTGAGCTGTGATCTAAGTGGTGACCAGAAAAGTAGTTTTATCAGTGATCAGCACGCATGATGATGTTGCGAAGTGACAATGCTAGTTATTCGCCCAACATTCCCGATGCCATTTGAAGCCCAGATGTCACAATTGTGGCTCTGCCTGTGTAACGAAGTTCGAGAAACAAAAGCCGTTGTCCCATGCAAATGGAAAGGCCCAAGCGCAGCTGGTGGTCATGGTAGACCTTCTGTGGCGGCCAGTAAGCTGACCAACTGTAAATGTACGAACACGTGAACACGTGACCCTGGCTGACAATGCCCGCACTCTGAGCCTACCGAATCTCATCGAAATCGATAGGGGCCGTGATCGAAAGCTTCATCAAATCCTGATCGATTTGCCGTGCAATGACCCCTCAGCCATCTCAGTTTCGGGCGCCCGCCGCTGACGTCACGACCCCTTCTACGAGGTGAGGTCAGGTCACCGAGCGCCAGTGCCGAATTTGTTGCATATTACCGCGGCTTGCTTACTTTGCGAGATAGCATAGTGTGGTCAAATACCCTCCTTCCTCTTATACGGCCTTGCTCCTCAGCCCAGCCCACCATGGCGACGTTGTCTGAGAGGCCCCACCCGGTCGCGGGTTATAATAGGTATGTGCTTGTCTCCTCACATCTTGATCTGATTTGTGCAAGTACATAGGAGCAAAGGACGGTGATGCTATGATGATAAATGCACCATCACTCATTGCTTCCAACGTACCAACACATCATTATTTCAGCTCAAAAGGAGAAGCGCTCAGGTGGCCCAGTTGTGTTATATTTCACTTCAGATGATTTTGAGATGAGAAGATGCCTACATAGCGTCTGTTTCAATTGATGTTCGCGGTACATCTGAAATAAAGTGCACCGCTGAAAACCAATCGAAGCAGGCCTATGTAGTTTTGCCGAGCGTATCCCAAGATTTGAGGCACGAGTCCGCAGTTGCTAATAATTATTTTAACTAGATCATATTCGAGGTAAGCAGTGCGCCAGTTTTGCAATGGAACCTTATAACAAACTGAACAGATTACAGCGGCAAGGTCAACTTTTAGAATTGATTCAATTGTGTGTGTTTTCCTAACAAATAACGTCTTGAACTTCATGAATTCAACGCACCACGAACCATCGCAATGCATGCTCCAAATGCCCAGTGCAGTAAATCTCGATTACTGCAAAAGTCATTTGAAGCACCACTACGCATTTTGGCATATCACTGATTT